AAGAAGAGGGAAGAATTAGGTACAGCAGAATTGGCTTTAGTCCTCTGATAGCATCCTTGGAGGTATCTCCTTTAGGAGCTCTCTTAATCCTAAAATTATAATCAGGAATTAAAACACATAAGATATAGCTGTCAATGTGAAACAGCTAACTCTAGGCTCTCTTTTTAACATTTAGAAAGAGCATTTACTTAAAAGAATGCAAAACACGTGCTTTGTGAATCTCATATATTCTTGTAAATGCCCCCTTGTGAGGTTCAGAGTCCTTGCTTTATATATTATCTTATCAGCCTTTTTTAATCTTTCTTTATAGTTATGCATGCTTGAGCACATAAACAGATTTATCTTTACCTTATATGTGACCTCATGAACAAAACTTGCAGTAAAAGTAACTGACAACCCTGCTGATAAGTTGGTGGCTGTTATCAACACCAATAGAACAGCACACAAGTCATCATCACTTGATGACAATGCTGGCCTGGCCTGCATTGCTTTGCAGTATATAAAAGCATACCAAGGTGACTGCAGTGCTGTGGGAGGGCCAAATGCCAAGAAGCCTGCAGATACAGAATTTGCTGAAACTTTTGCCCCCAACTGTGGTGTTGAGGTCTCAAGTCTTTCTCCAATCACTGGTCGTTTTCTTTTATGTCAACCCAACTATATCCATGCTCCTGAAGCATTCTCAATGCTGGTTGATAGTAATAAGAGCTTGGAGATTCTCTACAACAAGAACCACACAGAAGTTGGGGCTGCTGTGACTGGCACAGATGGGGGGTCTCCCTATTTCTGGTGTGTGTTGTTCAGCAATGGTAAGCCTAACAGCAGCTTTGTTTTTGAGGATGGTGTGGCTAAGATATCAAAGCCTGGGTGCTTCAGTGGTGCTAATGATGTCTGCAGCCGAGCCAATGATTTGTCTCAACCTGGCCATCTATGGCTGTATGTTGCTGCAGCCTTCATTGCCATGGGATACATCTTTGGTTTGTGATTCTGAACTCAGTAATACACTCTGTTTTCTACCAGATTTTGGAACCGTTCTATTGCCTCGAATGAAATGGCTTGGTCTTTGTCAGTAGTCTTTTCTGTTTACGACTGTTATCATTCTTTTGGAATGTAAGTGTGTAGTTTATTCCATTCATTTTCCTACTCATTTCTTATTCATGTGTAAAATCTTATATCAAACATGTCCACTTGGGGGAACGTTATGATAATTATTTTTTCTCTTTCATATAAAATTTGCTTCCTCAGGAAATTCATCATCTTCAATCATGTAATGCACTGCACACAGATGAAAAATGTATTTGTATTGCAGTAAGTTTCCTTGTGATCTTCCAGCCTCTTTGTATATGCAACTTCTTAGCTAAAGATTGGGATATACAATAGTTTCTGTGATTAAATCCAAGTAAATTGAATTCAGCTGCATTATTATGGGATTTTCTGTTATGTTTTAAGGTACGTATCATTTTGTTTCTCTTGGATGGTCAAAACAGTGTTGGTTGGGAGAAAGAAATCAACTCAAAAAGGATTCCTACAAAAAGATCACTCGTTCAATCTGCAACTAAGAATTTGGCCCCAAAAAAATCTGAAACTAGCATTGCATTTTCATCTCTAAAATACAGCTAAAAAAGATAGACAGCTTTCTCCTTTTAAATTTCATTCAAGCTTCTTTGGTTCTCCCCATCGAAGTTTTATGCTTCAAAACAAGGGCAAGACCCAGAAGAATCAGAATGATTCCTGCAGAAGAAGCACAGCTCTAAACTTCAAAACAAATGCAAGAACCAGAAGAATGAGGATGATTCCACAAGAAGAACCTCCAACTCTGTGAATTGAGTAGGGATCGAACCTGTCAAAGCTCTGGTCCAGATAATGTGACAGAATGATAGCCAAGATCAATACCAGAAGCAGCAGAGGCAACCAAGAAGACAAGTTGAAGGGTTGCTCATCCTCCTCAGGTTCAACTGCTGGTGCTTGGCGGTTAACATAGAGAGGTGAAACCACAGCGAGTATGGTCAAGCCTATGGCCACCAGTTTCTCAAACGAAGAAGACCTGATCCTCTGGTGTGTCACTATCGACTCCATTCCACGAAGAAACAACTTCCTCTTGATGAGTTCCTATTCCCAATGTCAAGAATCTCTTAATTAATATTTTTTTTTTTCTTTGATTTGAGGAGAGAGGAGGGCTCAGGGGGAGTGTTCTCTGTTATTGTTGCTCCCTGCTATCATTCAGTTTATTACTTTGTGCAAAGTTTCCATAACATTCCTATCCAACGGCCATGGAGGAGGGCTCAAAACAGAGGTCCTATCTTTCCCTGGAATCTTTGCAGAAATGTTTAGAGATTATCAGCGAAGCTTCCGCACAATAATTCTGTGGAATCTGATACTCCTTGTTCTCAAATTTCCTTCCTTTATAATGAAATAAGAATAATAATAATTTTGTTTACACATATGCTTATATTTCGAAACAGCTATGGCCACAGGACATTTGTTACTGTGTTAAATATAATTAATAATTAATAATTATTTTTATTTTTATTAACATCTCGATATCATTTCAATAATTATATTGATTTCGATTAATTCGAAATCGAATCATATAAAGTTTCAATAAAGAGGAACTTTTCAAATACATACTTTTTCATTTATAAGATTCAAATGAAAATCTCCAAACCAAGAATTTATTT